AGGAGTGCGCGAACAATTAGCTAACCAGTTTGCGGCGTTTGTGAAGGGGCGGATGCCTTGGTGGAGGACTGAGAGCTCTCCACCTCACTATCCCTTGCACTGTCATTGTTTATCGCTGTCAACTTTTTCAGTGACGAGAGTGTTACTCCTCAGTCGACTGTGTTTGGGAAGATCTTATGGGAGAAACGGCGTCTACATTTTTAGGTGGTCGTACATAAGCCATAAAAGCACTCCACAGCATATGTGTGTGTCTTGGTGTTACTTGAATCTAGCGACCATTTCGATATATATTATAGTTCGTCACAAAATGTTGCAGCTTCTTCTCCATGCATTTCCTTGAAATCGAATGCTGACGGGGTATGTAAAGGTGGAAAGTGTGAGACATTGCGGACCTGGAGACGGTCACCGCGATCGAGTGATCCGCGGAATAGCTCCATGCACTTGAGATCCAGGTCCGCACTCGCATAAAATTTGCCACTTTTGTCACTCACGGCGAGATAAAGCGGTCACAGGCTCAAGATTCTTGAGGAATTTGTTCGTTTTAGTCCACAAGACAACGACTCACACGGTGAATTATGTGACTATTGCGTCGCCTGCAGTGTCGTAACACGATTCCATGTGCTCGTTGCAGAGAATATTCGCTTGTCGACTCTTTTGCGAGCTTACTTTGTTCTGCTGTTCCGGAATACCTTTTTTCGGGAGCAATTAAGCAGTAGCACTTTGCCTCGCAAGGCAAGAATCGTTCTAGCGCAGCTAGCTTAAATCCAGCAGTGATGCAGTCGAATATTGTCGCGCGAAAAGCGCGTAGCTCCATTTGATGTGACAGGTACATTTTGGAAGTCAGTCGGTTCGCTGATACGCCGCGGCCGCAATCTCAATACGGCTAGGCGGTTTGGCCGGTCTTTTACTTTGGCTTCGGTCGCAGGCCTACCTTCTCTCCGTATGTTTTGAACGCTCAACTGATAGCGCTTTCTGCCGCATTTAATCAACACTGCTTACCACCATTTCATAGATGGCAATAGTGTTGAAAGTAGCAGGTATGATTTTATTGGTCAAGGAGTGTTCTCAATGTGTACAGGTGAAAGAAAAGCCGAATAATTGTTGAGTATCCAAATATGTAAAGGAAGGTACGCGCACCCGATGAAGGCCGCACGGGAGGCCACGCGCGCGCCGTCAGTCCGGCGAGTGCCGACTGACGTTAAATTAAGTAGTATCAGAGACATTCAAGCAAGCTCCAGCACAGGGCGACGGCCGGTGAGTCTTATTCGGAATACGGAATAGGAGTAATAAATAGTCCAAGCGGTGTTTGCTCCGACTAGGAGTACCAGAGTACACACGTACGCCGTGACGTCAAAGACGTGAACCCAGAAGAATGGCGAATTGTTCGTCAGAAAAATTAGGTTGCAGGACTCCATGAACACGACTGTCGCTAGCCCTTTTGACAAGAAAACTGCTTGCGCACCTCGCCAAAATAACACGAAGCTGGCGAATTCGACGACAAGCATTCTGTCCCAGGGTAGTTGGCGCGCTGAACACGAATGTCGCATTTGCAGTGGGTGCAAAGGGATGCAAGGATGATGAAAAGGGGGAATTGTGCAACGCGGCCTGCACCCTCCCCTCCACCCCGCGATAGGG